GATGAGTTTCAACATTTTAAAAAATTTTCACTAGTTCACGAGAGATACCACACATTCCATTTTGTAAACTAAACGACCAAGTTAAACTTTAGACACCAGTAACTACCAATCAGCGAACGGCGTCGAATTATCCAATGAGATTCACGAACGTAGTTCAATGCTGTGTAGCGCTTGATTCATTTACAATGAATGCGTGCCCTTACAAGGGGTTACGTTTGCAATTCGAACAGGATAGTGTCTTTCAGTATTGCCTGGACTTATGCTTGCTTCGAAAGGAGAGAAGTTGTTCGTGTGGTGGTGTAATGACTCTAAAAATCTATACTAGGTCAACTGATGGTTTTGTACATCGTTGTGGAATTTGCTGGAAGCGAGTTAGTATTAGAGAGGGTAATATTTCGTAGGAACTATTTTTGCTAGATCGCATCTCTCCCTAACCCAGATTTTGTACATTTACAATTACTGGGTACTGAAACAGTCCGTGAGAGCCGCTGCTGCCGAGACGGAGAACAGCGTCGTCTCAACAGTTCAGTGGTACCAGCACTGCAGGGACATCGCCTCATGGAAAATGTACAGAAATACTTCGTTGTTAGGCCGGGGACAACGTAGTAGTCCATGTGGATGAGACAGTGTTGGTGAAGAAGAAATATAACCGTGGTCGTCAGAGAGCGAACAACATTTGGGTCATAGCTTTATACGACATGTCCCTCCGAAAAGGATTTGTTGAAAGAATAGCAGACAGGAAGGCGAGTACTCTGGTACCTATTATAAAGCAATTTGTGAAACCGGGATGAATTGTACATACCGACGAGTGGAAAGGTTATGATTCATTGTCATCCCTGGGATACATTCATGACAGAGTGAACCACTCCAGTGATTTCGTGGATCCAGTTACAGAGACTCATATAAATTCCACTGAAGGATTTTTGGGTCGTTTGAAAAATAGAATAAGGGTTATAAATGGATCTCATTTATAGTCATTTAGAAGAATATATGTAGAGAATGTGGTGCGACTTCTTTATTGACAGTCTAATGCTGAATAGGGAGATGTTCCTGTCCAATGTTCGGGAAAGAAACTCATAGTAACCGTTTCATCATTTTTTTATGCATTTTTCTATAAATATACGTTTCCGCTTATCATAAACGCCTCTTGTATGTGATTGGTCCGCTCAAGGTCGTTTGCTGATTGGTTGTTACTGGTGCCGAAGGTTTAACTTTGCCAACTAAGCTAGAGGAAACAAAAGTAATTGGCATTCAAAAAGAACTCCAATAAGATGAGCGAAAATGTGTCGGGGGAAACAAAGGAGAGTCAGTCATCATACGGAAAAATATGAGCCTTCAATGGATCAAGGAGTGAATGCGTTTCAGCTGTTGACAACGAATTCGAGTCATATCTCAACCACCAGTCAATCAGTCAGTCAGTCTCCCAGTCAATTGGTTCCTAAAGGAGCGCCCAACCACACAGCCTACCTACACCTCCCTCCCTAAATGACCACCAAAGCTAAGCGTCAGCGATTTCATGAACTGATTTCAGGTTTGGGCCCTGGTTCTCCGCCTCTAACTCTCTCTCTTCTCTCTCCAATCAAATCCCATGTCGGAAAAAAACATTGTCCATTGTGGAAGGCGATATGTTATCATGTACAACACACACACACACATATCCTAGACACTTCAATCATTATTATAATTGTATCCTTTAATTCTTAGAGGAACTTAGGGCTCCAGCCGTGTGTCTCCATTGCGTTGGGTTCTCTGCTAGAATATTCACCTGGCTCCAAGTCTGCCCACACGTTTTCATTATCTCCTCTTCACATGACCTCCTCCAAGTCACTCACCCTCGCACTGACGACCAACTCGCCGCTTCCGTTTCGGTCGGGTTCCACTCGAGCAATGGCCTGTCTAGTGATGTCACTTGGTGGTTTCCTCAGAGTATGGCCAATCCATTTCCATTTCTTCCTGCATATTTGTTTCACAATTGGTTCCTGGTTGGTTCGCTCCCAGAGATCTCTGTTGCTGATACTTTGGCCATCTAATCTTGAGTGATATTGAGCGAAGACAACTATTAATGAAGGTCTGTTGTTTGTTTGAGATGCTCTTTATGACGCGCCAAGTCTCTGATCTCTATGGTAGCACTGACTTCACATTGGAGTTGAAAATCCGGATCTTATTTTTGATGCTGAGACTTGAGATTGGTGAAAGCTTGTCTTGCTTTCCCGATCCTCGCTGCTTTGATATCCTCGTCAGTTCCATCCGCCTATATTTGAGACGATGCTTCCCAGGTAGGTAAAAGAGGTTGTTTCCTTCAGGTTCCTCCCATTTATGCTAATCGTTGTCTGTTGTTGTTGTTTTTGTCCAGGAATCTTCATCACCTCTGTTTTCTCTATGTTCACCTGAAGTTCTATCTTCTCTGGATGCTTCTTCTGACAACTTGTTGCTTTTCACTTGCATATTATCCAGTTTGTGGGAAATCAGACATATTTCATCGTCGAAGTCCAGATCCTCCAAGTTTTTTGTGTGAGTCCATGCCCGCTGTTTGTCGCATTATCCAGTCAACTGCAATCAGGAAAATCATTGGCGATAGTAGGCAGCCAGTTTGTCTTACTCCTGTCCTCACTTCCAAGGATTCCGTATAAATGTATAGCTTAACGACCTCACCGATTAACTTCTTCTCCTCACTCAACACTCATTACTCTACGTCTATTCTCGGTAATACTCAACGTATAATCTGTCTGTCTGTTTTCGACATAGAACCGATTTGCACCGATGTGCACCAGTTCAAGTCACCACACACTCCCTCCACCCCATGTAGTACACAAAGTAAGAGAAGAAAGTAGAACAAATGGATAATAGAGAGAGACAGTAAACAGAGGTGTGGTAAGACAAAGGAACAGTAATAACGAAGAACAATATAGTTTCATTGGAGAAATCATAAGTAACAAGGAGTGGATGCACCTGCGCCAGCCAACATTGAGAGCGATGAGTTTGAGCCATATCACCAATTGTTTCCAGCCTTCATTGGTCTTTACCGTCATCCCGAGGACCCCAACCAGTCAGGAAGCCAGTCTACACCTTCCTACGTGGCTGGCTGGCTGGCTCAAACTACCTTTTGTGGATTTCATTGACTAGTGAAGAAGCCATGTTTGCTTTGACCACCACTAGCTCTTTTCCAGCGTGACCCTATGTCAGCTAACATTGTCCGTAACACATGTCCAAACCACCTCACTCAGTCGACATAATTTCACAGCCTCATTGTCGATTGATTTCCCCTCCCTCGTTACCAACTAGCACTCACTGGACGCCTAACCTCAATATTGCTCACCACCTTATTATACCAACCACCACCTGACACGGGAGATAGAGCGAACGCAGTCAGGCAGGCAGGCACCTATGATCGAAGACAGCTAATCAACCAGCAAGGCATTTCATGTCTTCTCACCGTATAATAAATACCACTTAAAACAAGAGAAACATCATCATCACGATTGAGTGAGACAGAAAAGGAAAAAAACAAATAGTATAAAGAGAGAGAGACAGAACCTGGCCACGACGGGTGAATATGTAAGTTTTGTCGGGTCCAAAACTACAGTCTTAAACAAACAAGCAAATATAAATATATGTGTAAAACTTGGGCACTGTGGTAGTAAGTAATTCCATATTAGTTTGTTTATTAGGTATATCACACAGTGAAACAGTATTATTTACTGGATGACGTTTCGAAGAAAATTTATTGTTCACAATCATATCAATTGTGATCGCACGACTTTGACACTTGAGTTTTATAGCTTTCTTTGTTTTCTCCAATTTGTCGTAGGGGCAGTAGAATTTTCCATATATCGGGGACAGGTGATGAATCATTCCTATTACATGTATTTGCAGTTGATTCAATAAACAAAGCTTCTGTTATCAATCTCTCCCTATACCCTGTGACATTAGATTTTAAAACTGTCATCCTATCCCATCCTATTGTATGGTTGTGTGTGACTGCATGTAGTGCTATAGCTGAACTATTCTCTAGATTTCTTACTTTATTCGGGTCAACCAATCTAGATTTCGCTAAGTTTTTATGTTCAGCTAGTCTGACTGCCCCTGTTCTACTAGTTTGACCTATGTATTTGACTTGACAATCATTGCAGGCAGGGTATTAGATAAACTAAATTGTTTTGTTTTAAAGGCTCTATAGGATCCTTTAGCCGACAAAGCTTGTTTCTAATTGAGTTTGTGGGTTTGAATGCCGTTTTTATTCCTGCCTTGTTGAGAATTCTGCGTAAAGCTTCTGAGGTTCCTTCCTTGTATGGAATTACTACTGATGATTTAGATTCCCTATTGTTGGTGTCGTCATTAATATTATTATTATCACTATTATTATTATTGTTATTATCACTATCGCTACTATCATTATTTATTTTATTTTTACATTTCCTTACATATTTCCTGACTAATTTATCAGGGTAATTATTAAGTTTCAAGGCTTCTTTTATATGTATCAGTTCCTGTTTTAGATTTTCTTTGGTACTACTTAGTTTTTGTGCTCTGTCATTTAAACATTTCACCAATCCTATTTTACTGACATAGGATGGGATGACTGGAAGTCCAAATATCTGTTTGAGTGTGTGGGTTTCCTGTGAACACACTAGTGTTTAACCTCCCATCTTCTTTCCTCTTTACGTTGCAATCTAACATTGGGAGTTCCCCTTCCTGATTTTCCAATTCATAAGTGAATTGAATTGCTTCAACCTTCGAGGTTATGTGTTCGAGAAATCTATCTATATTTTGTGTTCTAAGTACAGTGAACGTGTCATCTACGTATCTCCACCATACTTTTGGGGTGGGGGTGAATGTTTCAATCGTTATGCTTTCCCACTTATTCATGAATATATCTGCTACCACTGGGGATATTGGTGATCCCAAATATATATGCAGCTGAAAAAAGTGGCTGGTAGGGACAACAAAATAATAAAAAACCCGAACCAAACTAAACCACACCGTTATGTAAATGTGTGTACCTGTGCTCTATACATCTCCTTGACATCAGCCAAGTCCAACTTCAGCTCATTATTCTCTTCAGTTAATTTACCGCATAGAACCAAGAGAGTTTCATAACGTTGTTGTAATTCCTTATTCTCATCGAGATCTATAAAATCGTCAGCGTCACCGCCAACATCATCACTAGCATTAGCATGATTATCAATAATTTTCTTTATCAAAGTAGAAGCGGAGGAGAAGGCGGAGGCGGAGTAGGCGGATTGTATTCGATGTTCACTAGACCTTCTAGAATATTTGACACCGGCCAATCGGGCATATTTTTCAACAAGGGCTGTTTGTTTAGCAATCTCTGCTAATAACTTTTCTTGTATAGATTGTAAATGATCAATTTCACGCTTTAAATGAGCACATTCACCATCACGTAAATGCAGGTAAGACTAAAGGGATGAAAAGAAAAAGAAAAGAAAAAAATGCCGGAATCAACATAAAAAGAGTTAACAGTGAAGCAATATAATCTAAGGTTGAATACAACTCGCTACAACATAGATGGCGCACTGAAATAGAAACCAAGTCGGAAATTAAATACCTAGGCGTCATTCTATCTGCTGATCTTTCTTGGTCGTCTCATATCTTGATGATTTCTTAGAAAATATTCCGTCTTAGCTACTACATCAAGAAGTTAAGATATTCTGGAATAACCTAACCCTCTTACTCTTACGATTCGTTAACTCTTGCATTCTGCCTATTATTCTCTATTGTTCCTCCTTAGTTTTTCCAGGGCTACTGAAGAAGGATCATATATCTTATTACGTAGGGTGTTAAAGATTGTCAGCAGGGTAAGCAACCTGCCACTTAACCAGCTTGTTAATATTCTGGTCGACAGGCAGGCACTTGGACTCATGTGAAAAATGGGGGCTAAATCCATTCTATGTAACTCACACCACCCTGTTCATTCACAACTCTCCCGTTGTACCTCATCAGGTAAAACCAGAAGCCAATATAGAAAACTATATGCTCACGCTAGCAAGTACAAAAACTCAACCATACCCTACTTGGCTCGCGATAAAGAAAGCATTAGGCGTGATACCTATAATTCATTAAATAGTCAGTAGTACAGCTGGACCTCGTCTTTCCGACTCATATCATTTATAGGTACAACATTTTCTTTCTTTCTTTTCCTTCTATCTATTTTTTTCCGTTATGTGCTGCTTTGTTTCTTTCTTCCGCTTACGCCAGTAAATATGACAGCACCTACTTTTCTAACACATTCAAACACTGTTCAACTTTGGCTTCGCTACCGACATCCCAATATGCTGTTGTCATAATGAACTGTTGGTTTCCTCAATCTATGTAGAATTCTATTTATTTATTGATAATGTACTAACTGGATGCACTACTGTAGTAAAAATGCTGAGAATTCCATTCTGTATCACGAGCACTGATTCGGAATAAAGCAAATTACTATTATTATTATTATTATTATTATTAACGAATGCTAACAAAAACAAACTTCTTTGGTCTAGGGTTCATTCCTCACCCCCCCCCCCTCAACTGATTGCCTTCAACAATATCCTAACACCAGAATTTAATTGGTGGATGGAGACTACCAGTGAAATCAAGTCCAGGATAATGCGCATTTCACCGGTCCTATCTGGGACTCGTGGTCAGCTGGCTGGATGTACCTGCATTCTACCGGTGAGTCAGTGATGATGTTCCCCGCACCGAGTCTCGAACCCAGTGCTTAAATATCCTAACACCAAATTGAAAGAGCAGGGGGGGGGGGCAATGGTGAGTTATCTAACTTGACTGACTTATAGAATTAGAGTCAGCATTGATGATACCAAGCAGTGGCGACGAGACATTGGTTATTTATTCTCTAGTCAGCTATCAATGTATCCAGTACAATCGTACAGGAAAGAGGTGAAACATAAACCAAAATAACTCAGTGGGAACAGTTCTGACTGCAGTATGGGGAGATGTAGGCAAGAATCTTATCAAGGGACATAATTTCCTACAAAGTGGTGGGATGGAGTAGGTTTGCTGTCGAGCAATATAACAGGGATGAGATTATGGGCCAAGAGTTTTCCTAAAGTTTGGTTTGTAAGGGTTTGTTATATTTTTACGAGTTGATCACGGACTGATATCAGTTAGAGAACCATTGAAAACCAGGGAGTACTCGACAGCTGCTGTTTCATCCTAGTTTGGGAATCATCGGCAGTACGCACCCACTGCACCGGCGCTCGAACCCAGGACCTTCCGGTTACAAGGCAAGCTCGTATACCATTCAGCCACTGACTGGGACCCGATTCAATGGCTCATGAATTCTAACTTCTACCAATTCGTGATTTAGCGCGACCCCAACCATTGTCGTTGGTGGGACATCCATCCACACACATGACATCTAATTGGACCTCACTGGGGTCACGCGAAATCACGAATTGGTAGAAGTTAGAATTCATGAGCCATTGAATCGGGTCCCAGTCAGTGGCTGAATGGTACACGAGCTTGCCTTGTAACCGGAAGATCCTGGGTTCGAATCCCAGTGGGTGCGTACTGCCGATGATTCCCAAAACTAGGATGAAACAGCAGCTATCCAGTACTCCCTGGTTTTCAATGGTTCTCTAATTGATATCAGTCCGTGATTAACTCGTAAAAACAAGAGTTGTCCGTCGATTGCCTCCAACCACACCACCTACTAGTGTTAATGCATAGACATATTTATACGCAGAGTGAAATTATTATTATTATTGATATACGAACCTGGTGTATATTATAGACACCTAGGGATGCACCACACACAAACTGCTGACTCATAGGATTTCATCATGAGCTGACATTGGTTAGAGAACCAGTGGAAAACCAACCAGGGAGTACTGCCCTATCCTAGTTTGGGACCGGCTATTCAGCAGTACGCACGCACCCACTGCTAGGGTTCGAACCCACGACCTTCTGGTTACAAGGCGAGCTAGCTCGTAGACCATTGAGCCACTGGGACCCAATCCAATGGCCAGCCAGTCCATGAATTCTAACTTCTGCTAATTCACAACATAGCGCGATGGGTGCGTGCTGATGAAGAGTCCCAAACTAGACAGACGAAACAGTTGTCCAGTACTCCCTGGTTGGTTTGCCAATGGTTCTCTAACCAATGTCAGCTAATCATGATGAAATCCTGTAACCAACCAATCAAATCCCTACAAACCAACATTTGAATGTTGTCTCATACTTTGTGCGCAGGCTGAGACATTGCCCAGATAACCAAACCGAAGCAGATGGTCGTCTTAAGCGATCAATCGCCAAGCCATTTAACTTACAGTCTGATCCAAAAGGCAGAGGAGAAATGAATCCATGGTTTCCAGTGACCAAGACAAGTTTGTACACTATTCTATCCTTTGAGATTCTGCACAATCCATGTACACCATAGGTTTGCAGTCAGGGTTTTTCAACTCCCTTAGGCGAAAGATCTGCTTGTCCACCACAGTTCGTTTAAAAGCGCTAAACCTTCGATTTTGTTAGGAACAGCCCCACCCCCCAACATGTGTAAAGGCATTGAATAGGACTCACCACCTGACAGAGACTATGGACAGATAGATGGCTACATGACAACATTTCGAGAGAGAGGAAGACCAGAAGTCCATCTTCCCTCGGTTATACCAAGCCGTTTTTATGGGGACAAGTTGGGCGTTATTAGTTCAAGGCTGATATAAAAGAAGACTAAGTCAGGAGGTGATGAAAGCTTGGAAGCAGCTGGAGACTTAGTCGGCTGATGAAAGTAATTACACAGCGCAATCGACATGTGCTACTGAAGGCTTATGTTAGTTCCATTCGACTCCAACTGACTAAGTGGTGTGTGTGTGTGTGATAAGATAACTTACACGGACACAAATACATAATCATAACAGCTAAACAATCAATGAATCTCAGCTTCGTGGCCTTAAAATACAAACGCAATCTGATAAAGTGATTGGTTCACCATAGAGCAAGAGCAATCTGCTCGGATCAACGTCTTGATGAGGAACTTAATAATATTAAACGGTTGCTGAGTGAAAATGGTTATCCAGAAAAGTTTATTGATAAGATTATGAATCTAAAATCAAAGCAGTCCAAGGTAACAACAGTTTCGAGGCAAAGTAAGGCCTTATTCTTACACATGCAGTTCCTTGGGGACAAATCAGCCAGATACTAACACAGTATCTTAGAAATTAGGCGGTGAAATGAAGATCATTCCCTGATGCTGAATTACGCGGTCTCTTCAAAACCACTCAACCCTATTTTGCGTTCATTCGGGAGTAAAAGACAAACTGCCTAATTTCACCCCCTTCCATGTCTATCTACCGAACATCTCCTTGCACACTGGTTGGTTAGGTAAAAGACAACCAAATCCATCTATCCGCAGCGCTATTCTATCTCACTCATCTTGTGGATACAGAACAGAACACAAGACTGACTGATGTTAACCAGGTGGCTTTCAGGGTCATTTACCGCATACCAACTAACAAATCTCAATTTCGCCTTCACAGTTCGACTACTAAATATTGCTGAGGCTGGCTGGCTGGCTGTTGGGATCCATATTAACAAGCCTAATTTGTGCATCCAAAAGAAGTTGGTTGGTTCAGACATTATCCTTACCCGCTTGGCCATCTAGGTTTGAATGATCGATCCTGAATTTTTGTGGAATTTTCCTAATTTTAGTTGATATTCTATTTGCTACTATATCTTTATTATTATTATTATTATTATTATTATTATAATTTAGGCATCTTTAATGAACTGTGGTGATTCCATTGTGATCTTACTTTACAAATCGATATTACTATTTAAAAAGCACACACTAATATTGTTATTGACTACTAATCTAGAATATTCTATGTATATAAACAGACATGCATATATAGATATAATTGTAGAGCGAGAAGAGGAGGAGGAACTTCTTATCGAAAAGGGGGGGGGATATTCTTTGCTGGCTCAATTATATTTTGTGTTTTTTATAAACAGAAGTGTGAAATTTCTCGTTGTTTTTTTTGTTATTTTGGCTTACTTGAACATATTCCTTGGTCGCTTCACTTCCCATATCACTTGGAAGTGTGAATAGCCTCGGTTGTGCATTATACATAGGCGGAACTTCTTCACTAGATGAAGATTTACGCTGAAATGGAATGAAAAATAGAAAAAAATAAAAACATTTATAAGAAAGCAAAACATCGGATTGCCATGAATAATAAAAATAACAGTCAGCATATTCCTATTATGAACTCGAATTTTATTGTCGATACATGGATGATACTTTTTTGATTATGAAGAACGAAAAGGAACAAATAACATCCTGGACAAATTTAATAAGGTACATTCTGCAATAAATTTTACTATTGAGAAAGAAAAAGACTCTAGTATATCATTTCTAGACGTCCTTATGACCAGAAAAGAGGACGGCACAATAAGAAGAAGTGTCTATGGAAAACCTACATCAACGGGCCAGTACACACATTTTCTCAGCTTTATGCCCTTGAAATACAAACGCAATCTAATAAAGTGCTTGGTCCACACAGCAAGGGAGATGTGCTCGGATGAATGTCTTGACGAGGAGCTTAACAATAGTAAACGGTTGCTAAGTGAGAATGGTTATCCTGAAAAGTTTATTGATAAGAATATGAAACTAAAACCAAAACAGTCCAAGTTACCAACAGTTCCAAAGAAAGCCTTGTTCTTAAAGATGCAGTTCCTAGGAGAAAATACAAGTGAGATACTAACACATTGCCTCAGAAATGCGGTAAAAAGAGCATTCCATGCTGCTCAATTACGCTATATCTTTAGAACCACTCCTCTTCTGCCTTCGGTAATAAAAGACAAACTGCCTAATTTCGCCTCTTCCATGTGTATATACCAATTGAACTGCTCCTGTGGAGCTGTGGTGAGAGCGGTCTACTAGCCAAGTGGTGGACAGTAATTGAGGTCAATGTTTATGTATCAAATATTAGTCATGTTGTGGTGAGAGATGGTTGCTGGCCAAATTGGTTGACAGTAATTGAGGTCAAAGGTCAAGGTAGACAGACGGTTACAGTTAACATATAGATGAACTGACACAGCCACAAGAGATGCAAGGTTAACTTTGTGTGAGAAACAACCAATCAACAGACTGTATTTTCTACTAACATTGACCTACAATAATGTACATAAAAATCTATAAATACGTGTTGATTTTTCGTAATAAACGATCTGTTGCCTGGCCCTTGTCTTCTGTTGTTACATTTGGTGTCGCTGCCTACCGACAAATGGAAAGCCTATGCCCTGCAGTTTTTGATGGAGACATATGGATCTTCGCGCAGGACTTCGAGGCTTCTTCGCAGTTGAGTGGCGTTCAAGATCTGTCAGCGATGAGGCTGCTACTTGGGACGCTGCTGGGAGGTCGGGAGAAAGCAGCATATGGAAGTGTGAGGTGAAATACCTACGAATGTGCGACAGGGTCAGGCAAACAGTTTCCAAAGTGGGAAGGACCATATATGGTCACGTTGAGATGGGGTTACGCAGACACAATCGCAATGGTAAACACCGTTAAACAAGTGAACATCCGCAAGCGCCGAGATTCCAGACAGCAAGACAACAGAGCAGAGCCCCAAGAACCGAGAAGACCGAGCCGACTTCAGTCCAAACTATTTGACGGGGGGACGAGTGTGGTGAGAGCGGTCTACTAGCCAAGTGGTGGACAGTAATTGAGGTCAATGTTTATGTATCAAATATTAGTCATGTTGTGGTGAGAGATGGTTGCTGGCCAAATTGGTTGACAGTAATTGAGGTCAAAGGTCAAGGTAGACAGACGGTTACAGTTAACATATAGATGAACTGACACAGCCACAAGAGATGCAAGGTTAACTTTGTGTGAGAAACAACCAATCAACAGACTGTATTTTCTACTAACATTGACCTACAATAATGTACATAAAAATCTATAAATACGTGTTGATTTTTCGTAATAAACGATCTGTTGCCTGGCCCTTGTCTTCTGTTGTTACAGAGCCAGTTACATAGGCCGTACAATTAGGCGTGTTTCGCGTCCAATTTCCGAACATCACCCTGCCTGGTTAAGCAAACGTCAAACAAAATGTATTCGCAGCGCCATTCTATCCCATCTTGTGGATACAGAACACAAGACTGACGTTAATCATGCTTTCAGGGTCATTTACCGAATACCTACGAATCTCAATTTCGCTTTGAGAGTTCAACTTCTAAATATTGCTGAGGCTGTGGGGATGCATATTGATAAGCCTAATTTATGCACCCAAAATATTTTATATTTATATTTTGATTTACAGCTTGATTCTACACCGTATTTTCAGTACAAGTATGGCATTTTCAGCATGGATATCGGTCGCCCAAATTCAGGCCGACCATAGATATCGGGTGTGCGCCGGCAGGAGATCGAACCTCGGACCATGTGCATGGTCAGTGAGAGTCCTAACCACTGTGCCACCGACGCACAAGAAGTTAGTTCAGTCATTATCATTACCTTGGCCATCCAGGTTTGAATAATCCAGAATTTTTGTGAAATTTCCCTAATTTTAGTTGATATTCTATTCTCTATTATATCTTTATTATTATTATTATTATTATTATTATTATTATTATTATAAGTTGGGCATCTTTAATGAACTGTGGTCATTCCATTGTGATCTTACTTTACAAATCGATATTATTTAAAAAGCACACACTAATATTGTTATTGACTACTAATCTAGAATATTCTGTGTATATAAACATGCATATACTAGTTTGACTGACCTGTGTAGTTGACCTAACTCAGAGTCGTTGCAGGGTATTTTGTAAATTATATTATTTTGTCTAATTGGGTCAACATATAGGGTCCTTTAACCTACAGAGCTTGTCCTACCTGAGTGACTTTGTAGGTTTAAATGCCACCACCAGCCTAATTCCTGCTTTGTTATTAAGAATCCTACGTATAACACTGTGAGTGACAGTTTATCAAAATAAAATCGTATCCATAATGGAGCGAAATCTTTGGTCCGATTTTCATTATTATGAGAATTATAGACCAACTAGACTGGAGTGGTCCGAACTCATTGAACTCAGCTCATGGAACCAAATCAAACCGAGTACACACCACTACTGATGAACTGGGTCCTACCCCCACACAGGTGGCGAGTGAAATGACTGTCTCCCATGTGTGCATGCATTTTTGTATTTTCATTCCAAGTGAATGAAAAATTGAACAATGCTGTTTCCCTACTACTTGGTACTGAGCTAATAGCCTTTATCAAAATAAGATATGTTATATATTCCTGTTTCATATCAATGCATATATATATAATTATGGACATCAATTTGATAACTGAGATAATGTCGAAATTTTAGACAGAGGAAACACCACCACCAAAAGTGTAGTCAGGGAATTCCTAGAAGCCGGGTAGGTACTCAAACGAATCAGCCAGCGATTAACAAACACGTGATTATAGACCAAATATACCAACTAATAAAAATAAGATCAAGTGACCAGAAAGTTTAAAATCCAAGTCAATAGAAAATGATCAAAACACAAATGTAAAGATGGTAACCGGGAGACGAAATTCTATCAACACTCATGGAAAAAAATTTAAATCAGTTCACTTTACGCTGAAATTTGCGCTGAAGAAGGATGTTGTCCAGCTGGTTGGGGGGACGACGAAAGCTCCGCAACTAACCCATCAACCAGCTCCTCAGAGAACACTATTAATTACAATTGCGGAATAGATTTCCAAATGTTGATTTACTTCAAGATTATGTGTATGCCATCAGGAATCAACATCAATTTAACAAAACATTTGGAAGTGAAGAAAATGATGAGTGAACAGTTGTTTCGTCCAAGTTTGTAGCTCTATAGCAGCGCGCACCTAAGAACTCACCAAGTGTTCAACTGAGGAGAAACTTTTGTTTCTCTAGGATCTAGGTCAGAATCCAATTAGTGCTCATGGATTATAAGTTGTACAGTGCCACCGTAAGCAAGGGCAAGTGATTTGCCAGCTGTGTATTTTATGCGTTGAATTTGATCAACAAAAACAACTAGTCACGTCATAGGGTAGCATATGGTTACAGGATTTCATCATGAGCTGACATTGGTTAGAGAACCATTGGAAAACCTGGGAGTACTGGACAGCCAGCTGTTTCGTCCGACTAGTTTGAGACTCTTCATCAGTAAGCACCCAACGAAAGGGTTCGAACCCAGGACCTTCTGGTTACTTGGCCAGCGACCTCGTAGACCATTGAGCCACTGGGACACGATCCAACGGCCGATGAATTCTAACTTCTGCCAATGTCTTCGGCGAGTATTTATCCTCACACCCAACCTGCTGCACCCTGCTGGTCACGTCATTCGTCACGTTTTACTATATAGGACTTTAGATCATTCAGTCAGCCAGTCAGTCTGTAGCGATTTGTACTGCATTTACGATTCAAGGAATGTGGATGATTTTTAAATAAAAAATTCATACCATTCGGGATGTGGCTATAAAGCTTAATCGATCGAGATGGCTAGGCCACGTGTTGCCCATATGCCGAGCCAACGCCTGCCTGCCTGGTCAAGAAATATTAGCTGATATAAAGTTAGTTAGGTTGGAAAACAGCTAGAGATAGTTCATAAAGTCTTTGAGTATTGATTTGTGCCACATTTAGACTGACTGTTCTCAATCCTCAGGATCCTTAGAACCAATATTAATATAAGTGTAAGCCTTGGGCACTGCGGTAGTAAGTAATTCCATATTAGTTTATTTATTAGATGTATCACACAGTGTTTACAGGAAACCACATATTCAAACAGATATTTGGACTTCTGATCATCCCATCCTATGTCAGTGAAAAAAGGATTGGTGAAATGTTTAAGTGACAGAGCATAAAAACTAAGCACTAGTACCAAGGAAAATCTAAGACAGGAAGTGATACACATAAAAGAAGCCTTGAAACTTAATAATTACCCTGATAAATTAGTCAGGAAATATTGAGGGAAATGTAAAAATAAAATGAGTAATGAAAGTAGTGATAGTGATAATATTAATAATAACAATAGTAATATTAATGACGACATGCAAGTCAAACATGCGCTAGACAGCACCAATATATGAGGAATCTAAATCATCAGTAGTAATTCCATACAAGGAAGGAACCTCAGAAACCACCCACCTTACGCAGAATTCTTAACAATGCTGGCAGGAATGAAAGTGGCTGGAATTCACAAACCAACCACAAACTCAATTACAAACAAGCTTTGTCGGTTAAACGATCAATCCTGTGGAGCCTTTACAACAAAACAATTTAGTGTTTCTAATACCCTGCCTGCAATGATTGTCAGGTCAAATACATAGCTCAAGGTAGTAGTACAGTGTCAGTGAGTCAGATTAGCCAAGCAGCATAAAAACCTAACAGCGAAATCTAGATCAGTTGACACAAATAAGATAAGAAATCTAGAGAATAGTTCAGCTATACCACTCACTACATGCAGTTACACACAACCATACAATAGGTTGGATGGAATAAGATGACAGTTTTAAAATCTAATGTCACTGGGAGGTTGGATGGAGGGAGAGGTTGATAACAACGGAAGCTTTGTTTATCGAATCATTATTATTATTTCCTTTAGTTCCTAGAGGAACATAGGGCTTCAGCCATGCGTCTCCATTGCGTTCGGTTCTCTGCTAGTTATCGAATCAACTGAGAGTGAATACGTGTAATAGGATTGATTCAACACCTGTCCAGCCCGATATCTGGAAAATTCTACAACTCCAACGACGACAAATAAGAGTGGACAAAGGAAACTATAAAACTCAAGTTTCGAAGTCGTATGATTACAATTGATATGATTATGAACAATGAAAAATTGTGTTCGAAACTGTGTCATCCAATAAATACTAATACTGTTTCTGTGACTGTGTGATACATCTAATAAAGAAACTAATATGGAATTACTTAGAACCAATAGTTTGAGAGTGTAGATGATATGGCTCAAAATTACACATCGCAATGACCCAGCCAGTTATACTCGCAGGAACTATTGTTCCTGCAGGTCCTACCATGCCAGGAAGGTTCTTAGGATAGCAATTAGACTTAAAGCAGTTACTGGTATAATGTGCTAGGGGTCTGTGAGCGAAGTTGTATTGCTAGAGAACAGAGATTTAACAGTAATAAGGTGTTTCCTTCAGACGGTCAGCATAACAGATATACTGTCTCTACTCTGGAGAGACGGGGGTTAGAAAAAGTCAACCCTAAATATTGCACGTCCCGACTTAGCCCACCTATGGTGGTCTGTAACCGGCAGTAAGTTACTAATACGAAACCAATCCAAGAAACCAGTTCATATAGGCCATATGTGTGACTGGCCGGCCTCAGGCAGTTGTGTCCCCTAGACTCTGTGGTCACGACGCAATACTAACCCTCTTTCTGTTTTAGGTACCCGTAGAATCAATCAACTTCCAATGTATGGGAACCGGGAAGTAACGACCACTTACGCACTTCCAAAATCACACCAAGTCCTCTTGAGCATCTCGCAACTTGAACTGCTGGAAAGTTCTTTATGGAGACTCAGTCAGTAGTGTCAATCAGCCGACGTCATTCTGAACTACTACTGTGGTGAGGGCAGGCTGCTAGCCGCAAAATATTGGTGGGCAGTAATTTACGTCAATGTTTATGTCCCAAAATATTGATCATGAGAAAAGAAGAACAAAGACTGACTGACTCAACAACCAATCACAGAAGACTTTGTTTGCGTTGGGCGGATACAATTAGCATATAGTAGATGATCTGACCTTCAAGAAACAGTCACAAAGAGAAACAACCAGTCAGAAGACTGTGTTTGTCTGCTAACAATAATCTATAATAATGTACATGAAGATCTATAAATATGTGTTGATTTCCTAAAGATAAACGATCTGTTGACTGGCCTTTGTTTTCTGCGTCACATTTGGTGTCGCTGCCTACCAACAAACGGAAAGCCTATGCCCTGCACTTTTTGATGGAGACTTAAGGATCTTCAGGCAGGACTTTGAGGCTTCTGCGCAGTTCAGTGGCGTTCAAGATTTGTCAGTGATGAGGCTGTTACTTGAGACACTGCTGGGAGGTCGGGAGAGAGCAGCATATGAAAGTGTGAGACGAAATACTGACGAATGTGCGACAGGGTCAGTAAAACAGTTTCCGAATTCGGAAAGACCACACATGGTCACTTTGAGATGATAGGGTCACGCAGACATAATCGCAATGGCAAGCAAACAGAAACAGGTGAACATCAGTGAGTGTCGAGATTCCACATACAGCAAGGCAAACTAACAAAGCCCCTAGAACCAAGAAGACCGAACCAACCAACTTCAGTCGGAAGTCTTTGACAAGGAGGGACGAGTGTGGTGAGAGTTGTCTGCTAGCCAAATTGGTAGACAGTAATTTACGTCAATGTTGTTTATGTCCCAAATATTGTTGGTCATGAGGAAAATAAGAACAAGAACTTTGCGTAGGCGGACACAATTAGCAGATAGTAAATGATCTGACCTTGAAGAAACAGTCACAAAGAGCAACAACCACCAATCAGAAGACTGTGTTTGTCTGCTAACAATAATCTATAATAATGTATGTATATGAAAATATATAAATATGTGTTGATTTCCTAAATAAACGATCTGTTGACTGGCCCTTGTTTTCTTGACTAAGATTCACCGTCCAAAAACTTTGCGTGTTTCGAGATCTTGATAGGCAAGTTTGAATAAATTAAACTTGCAAAAAATTGAGATTATACATTGATAAGTAAAAAAGAAACCGCCTTAAAAAAGCAATAGATTTTTCTAATAATAAAAAAATAAAATAAAAAGAAGTATCCACATACACGATCAGATTGGGAATTCATCTGAATATTCACATGATTTGTATGACTGTCTTCTTTAGTATTCATCTTCGTCTCTTGTTGTTGTTGGTGTTGCTGCTGTTGTTCTCCGGATAAATTACTATTCATTGTCGCCTCTAACAATGTTCGACATCGGTTCTGTTCAGATTTTAAGTTTTCCTCCAATTCTTTAACATAAGAACGAAGTTCGTTCACTTCAGACTGACAACTGTTCAGTTTATTCTTTAATCTAAATGATGTACACATATACATACATACATACATAGATACATAAAAAGAATGAGGCAATGTTTTTTTAACACACAATAAAACTTGATAGTGTGGAAAATTCCCATATTATGAATTAAAAGTCAATCTGAACGAAGAATATTCTTTTCAATACATCCTTCTCTTCAGGTTCTTACAATTATGAAATATCACGTATTTGTTGTCGTTACAATAAAGGCCAGTTATTTGGCGGATACATTTTTAACGTAGAATAACAGATTAGCAGTTATGGGGTGTCAAAATAAATAGTCGTATTTGTGTGACAAACGTGCTCTGGGCTGAATTCGATTACAAAATATTTCGGTGAAATGGGAGACAATGGTGGTGATTAGTCGTCATAATATATTTGTAGAGTGTGGGGTAGGAAGCTGAAGCTGTTGCAATAACACCGACTAAACCGGAACTTTGTATCCAAAAAAGAACACGTCCAGACGCTGTTCCTACCGTGGCCAAACTTGGATTGATGATTCTTCTTCTCACCAAGAATGCTCCTTCCCCTTAACCCTCTTGGCTTTTTTTTTTCCTTTGCTTATTATTACAATTATTACTATTATTATTAATATTATCATTATTCGTCATAATTTATGCCCTTCATGCAAACATTCTCTCAATACTATCGAATTTTTCGTTTATACTATCCTGACTTATTATTTGTAGTGGCATTATCTCTTTTCTCAATATATGCCTCCACCTGTTTCATTTCACATATTCGTTATCTCATTATGAAACTCCCATTGCAGTCTTCCTGTCTCCTGTTTAACACACAACACTTTGTTCTAGCCACTCACCTGACACCTTTTATAACCTTGAACTGACTTGTCAATTTTCCTACTCCACATTCTACAAATCTATTATGATTAATCACCATTGTCTCCCGTTTTACAATATTTTATAATCGAATTCAGCCTAGCATGTTTGTCACACAAATACGACCATTTATTTTGACACCCCATAACTACTAATCTGTTATTCTACGTTAAAAATGTATCTGCCGGATAACTGGCCTTTATTGTAACGACAACAAATATTAATGTATTTTATAATTGTAAGAACCTGAAGAGAAATTATTGAAAAGAATATTCTTCGTTCAGATAGAATTTTAATACAAAATAAAACTGTTGATCATAAAAGAATCACATAGAACTTCAATGAACGAAATATTCCCATATATTGAGTCATCAGGAAAAGAGGCACAAACAGCGAAGAAGAAAGCTTTCTTTTCGACAATTCATTTTCATGAGCTGCTGTACAATTATCGTAATTATATAATAAACAAACAAATCTTTACATCAATCAGATACTGCTAAACTTTATCCTTGAAAAATTGTATTACATAATGTAAGGTGTAACCTAGATGGGATCACTAATTGTATGTAAGTTAGAAAACAGGGGTAGAAGTTGGCATGATGTAATAAGTGTGAGGTAATAACTAATCATTAGGCTCGTGTAGAATGGACAGGAACTAGTGGAAAGGCGATAAAGTGTTTTTATCTAAAATCTGTATGAAAAAGTAATGTTATTAATAAACAGTAATTGAGTGGTAATAAAATGTGGATGATGGCAAGGTCAAAGTCTACCAACGTATTCTGGAACACTGTCCAGCTTGGTTAACCAGCTAGCCAGAGGAGAAAAGAAGAATAGCAGCAGCTCTATCCTCGAATACCTTGTCATCTCCGGACATCGAGCACCCCCACTTGCATGAATGCTTCACAGTGCTAAACAGAGTCCCTCAGTGTCGTACAAAGGGACTTCGCATACACCATCTGTATATGGGTGAAGCATTAGCTATTTGAGATCTGAAACCGGACATCTGCATTCAAAGGCGATACATACATTCACTCGCCCTACCGTGGCCGGAGTAAAGTTCTTACTATAATTTTGCTTCTTTCTTTCTTATTATGTAAGTTCACTATTATTACTATTTTCATTACTACTATTATTTTATAATCATTAGTATTCGCATTCCACTAGTTCCTGTCCATTCTGCAGGAGCTTATTGATTAGTTATTACCTCACACTTATTACATCATGCCAAATTCTGCCTATTTTCTAACTTACATACAATTAGTCATCCCTTCTAGGTTGCACCTTACATTATGTAATACAATTTTTCGAGGTCTAAAGATTTCTTTCTTATAATACAATTACGATTGTACAGCAGCTCATGAAAATGAATCGTCGAAAAGAAAATTTTCTTCTTCGCTGTTTGTGCCTTCTTTTTATGACATAGAACTTCGCAAAGAAAATACCATGAAAGTAAACAAAAATTAAAAAAAGCAAATTTTATTACCATCCAGTTTGATAACAATCTCTGTATAGTTGGTTTGTACAGCAGTAAGTTGAAGATGAGGCAGTAACTCACTCATCGAACAAGACATTGCGAAATGGTTGCGCTAGCTATGTCGTGCGTGAATTGGCAGAAGTAAGAATTTATGGACTGGCTGGCCAGTGGATCGGGTCTTAGTTGCTCAATGTTCTACGAGCTAGCTCGCTGGTCTTGTAACCAGAAGGTCGTGGGTTCGAACCCTGGCAGTGGGGTGGGTGCGTACTGCTGAATAGCTGGTCCTAAACTGGGACGGGGGAAACAGCTGGCTGTCAAGTACTCCCAGGCTTTCCAGTGATTCTCTAACTGATATCAGCTCATGATGAAATCCTCCATGCAATCAAACCAAATCTCTGCAAAATCAATACTTGAAGATTAGTTTTGTTTTCTTACGAGTCGATCACGGATTGATATCAGTTAGAGAAGCTTTGAAAATCAGCCGCAGGGAGTACTGCCAGACAGCCAGCTGTTTCCTCAGCCTAGTTTGGGAATAATCATCGGCAGTACGCACCCACCACTACAACGGGGTTCGAACCCAGGACCTTTCGGTTACAAGGCAAGCTAGCTGGCTCGTATACCATTTAGCCACTCACTGGGACCCGCCAGATTCAATGGCCAGCCAGTGCATGAATTCTAACTTCTACCAATTCGTGATTTAACGCTACCCCATCCTCACACATGACATCTGGATGGACCTCACTGATCACGACTTCTCACTAGAACTGACTCCAGGAAACTCCGTCTTTTAGCAAGTCACTAGCGAGCACCTCAGTGGATGCGTACTGCCGATGATTCCCAAACTAGGCTGATGAAACAGCTGGCTGTCCAGTACTCCCCTGCGGCTGGTTTTCAATGATTCTCTAACTGACATCAATCCATGATCAACTCGTAATAATAATCTCTAATGAAAATTTACATATTTGTTGTTTGTTAACAGTTGTCAGTCAGGGAACTAGTTAGGCAGCACAACTGTGTCAACAGTAATGTCTATCGGCAGCGATTCAGAAGAATACCGAATGCCGAATCCTTTTGTTAACATCATTCCACTGTGAGGAATCAATAATACGCGTTTCATAAATTTTCCATTAATAATAGCAGTCACCAATCCTCCACCTCTCCACGAGGAGGATTCATGAATACCATACGAGTGGAACATTAAGCCACACACTCAGCCCTACACAACTTCAATTCCTCCACTAGGTTCCACCTTGTTGTCACTTTCAAACGGGCTCATCGACAAGCGCCTTGATTTTCTCTTCACATTATCTCTGCAACTTGTCCCTTCCTATTCAGGTTCTAATCATAAGGGGGGGGGGAGCTAGCTTGTGAGATTGCTTAAAAGTTTCGTCAGTGTAGGTCAATTCCATCCCTATTTCCTTTTACATATTTGTTAAGTGACAGGTGACTACTTGGTTCGCTACACTGTCAGAGGTCTTTATTGTTCGCCTATGCTTTTAGCCCGGCAATTTGAGCATTAGTATCGAATAAACGTATGCAGAAGGCTGTTGGAAATGTTTTCGGTCACAGGATTTTATCATGAACAGCTGACATCGGTTAGAAAACCATTGGAAAACCAACCAGGGAGTACTGCCAGACAGCTGTTTCCTCCGTCCGGCTAGTTTGGGACCGGCTATTCAGTAGTATGCACCCACCCCACTGACAGGGTTCGAACTCAGGACCACGTTCTGGTTACAAGGCCAGTGAGCTCGCAGACCATTAAGCCAAGACAGAGCACTGGGACCCGATCCAATGGCCAGTCACGATAAAGCGACACCACTTAGCAATGTCTTTGTTGGCGAGTATTTATCCTCATACCCAACCTGCTGTACCCTACTGGTCCTGACTTCTCACTAGAACCCACCAAGGTAACTACCTGCCTGAATAGGACAAGTCACTAGTGAGCAAGCCAGGGCAGTAGTAGAGGCTAGCAGGTTGAACTTGCTTCTTCTCCACACACAGAGCACTCACTGGTTGTGTGAGGCGAATTACAATAGCCTCTGGTGTTTGGAACATGAGGTGCTTCGATGATGATTTTGTCAATTTATTAGGCGCCTAGTACGGTAGATGATGATAGAGAAGGATTCTTCAATGTTGGCTGGCTGGCTGACTTTGTGGCCGGCCGGCCGGTTTGCACAAGATGGTCCAATATCGAATTGTTTGTTAATGGTTTCCACTACACCTTTACTCTTAGCCATAGTGGGAGATGTTCTCTCTCGAGCGAGCGAGCGATCACGAAAAATCAAGTTCCTAGAGCAAGCAACGGCCAATATAACTCGCTCCTCTACAAGCACAGTTGCAGTTGAATTGGTAGATACAATTTGAAGTGGCCAGCTGGTCTAGTCTGGGTACTTCATCTTTCAGTCGAGGTAGCACCATCGGTCGTGTAGAGAATAAGACGTGTAGTTCGCCAGCATTAAAAGTTCTTACAACTGATTCGCTTTAAGTTCTTCGTAATTATCTCACTTGGTATATCGATCGCCCTTGAATTGTAGTCGTATATATAAAGAGGCTTCTTGTTTACGCATGGATAGTGAGTAGTCCTTTTCCGCCGCTTTCTTTGTCATGTGTTTCTTGATAAATTTGTCGGGAGAGCTATTTTCGACCAATCAAAGTATCATATACAACCAATGCTAAATTCATCTTCAATTACTTCTTCTGAGCATATAGCTCTAACGAACCTTGTGGCTGAGGGTCTTCACTAAATTTATTTTGTACTTTACAGGAAGGAAGCTGTGGAAATGTGTATATTGTCTATCTGGTTTTCTTGTAAGGAGGACGGGGATCCAGGAAGGCAATTCATTCTGTCTTGGGATTCCTCTTCGCACGTGAATTTTATAGTGGAGAATGTACTTCATTGAATTCAGTAATTATTGTCCACCTCTATCCGAATCATTATTGTCACATAGAATGAAGGTGTGTCATCCATATATACCGGCAATAAAATGAGAACTTTCTAATGAGGTGGTTGTTCAAAGGCCCATTTTCTAGTTTACTTACCTAGAAAGAAATCAGCCAAAATGGAATGCAACAGGGAGCCCATCACCACCACATCGTTTTACCTGTAAAGCGTGCCGTCAAAAATTGAAGTTTACATTCATGGTAAGTACACCTTAATAACAATTCTTGTAGGATTTCAGTAAAGATGCCAAAGTTTATCGGCTGATTATCCACTTGTTCACATATGTAAGGAGTTAACTATTTCCACTAGGGGTACATTTGTGAATTATGATGTTATGTTCAAATAAAAAAGACATTTGTAATTAGTCTACTTTTGTCACTCATATATATTGAAGGGTAGATGATGACTAAGAGCAGTAGAATTCAGGATGTACACTTCGTCTTATTTTGGACTCGTCATCTGCATAAACCTGTACTTCCTAGTGAGTAATGGTACACCTTATTAAAAATTCTTTCAGGATTTTCAGCACAATATCACGATAATTTCATAAGACAGATACATATAATGAGGTGATAACATAACAACAGTAATAATAATAATAATCACACTTACTCATAGGAATCAAGAGAACAGGTACGGGATTTTTCTTGTTCTGTTAAAATTGATTTTTCTAATTCGCTCTGTTTGCGTTTTAGTTCGCTGTTTTCTAATTTTAGCCCGCTTAAATTATCCTCTGCGATTTGAAGTCGACTTCGCCAGGTCTCTTCAGACGACTGAGCATTTTCAAACAATTCTTTATACTCAGCTAGGAGATGAAGAAAAAACAGAGGTTGGGGGGGGGAATATTTAAAACGTTTCACCTTGCAGAGAGAGTGTTTATGCGAATTCATTGATAATTCACTCAGTTAGTTCTGACCCTTGTCCGTGTGTGTAGGTGACATAGGAATTATCAAAAGAAAAGACGGTTGCAGCGAGGGAAGAAAAGCTTTTCTTTTCGACGAAGTCACCGTCAACTAGACAGCTGCACATTCGTGTATTTATGATAAATGGATGGGAAAGTTCCAGAATAATTGCCGGTTAAGGGTCAGATTAATAAAATTACAATTAGGAATTAAAATGACATAATAAACAGGGGGACGGTGGATGAAACTCAAACAAAGTAGCATCATAATTACTTAGAAGATTCACACTGATTGTGCCATTGAGGGTTAGAAATGTAGAAATAACAAAATAGATAGACAGGATGTTTGGATAACAAAAATATCTAGTGGGATCATAACTAATGTGACGAATAATTGTTTATGCAATCAGGGATTAAATATGTAGAAATAGTAAAATGACAAATTAAACAGGAAGTTCGAATATGAAAATATGGTAGTGTAGACAGGGATTAAGAAAAGCTTAAAATAACATGAATAAACAGGAAGTTTGGATAAGAAAGCTAGTGGGATGGTCATTACTATAGGAATTACCTGTTTAAGATGGCCATGGCAGCCAGCGACAAGGGTTGAACGTATTTCAGTGACACAACACTTAGTCGATTCAGGGCATTCAGCGCCATTCGAAAAATCCTTCCAAATAATATACAAGCTTCCATCAAACCTATCAAAGGGAGTAAAATTAAGACATCTGGGCATAGCCGAGGCACTAGCCATCCAAAACCTCAAACCCATGCTATGTATCAAAAAGAAATACGTACAATCCTTTCTCCTGCCATGGCCATCATAAACAGGTAATTGTTCTAATAGTGACCATCCCATTGACTTTCTCATCCAAACTTCCTGTTTATTCATCTTATTTTAAGTTTTTCTTAATCTCTCCTATTTACACTACCATATTTTCATATCCGAACTTCCTGTCTATTTTGTCATTTTATTTCGAAATCACAGAGAACGTCTCATATCATCAGAAGCACTTCATATCATCTAGTGGAATCCAAATTGTCTGAATAGGGACGATGGAGTAAAACAGAATCTGACCTGGTTACAACACCCACAACCCCTCCCCCAGGAAGTGACAAAATCAACACGAATGTGATAAGTTTTTTCATTATATAAACACACACTGCTTTTATAATTTTACACTCTGATCAAATCCAACAATCTACACTTGGTTCTGTTATCTTTATCAATTAGCCAATTTGAGAACGAAAAATAACCCCATACTGACGAACGATGATCAAGTTAGTCAACTTTGTTTTGATACCAACCAGGGTAGATGTACTAATACCTCTGTTATTTGGTTTAGTGATTGATCTTCATTGTTATTTTGACTTTCAATATGTCCTCCTTTTAACTTGACCTAAGTCTTTGCAACTGGTCCCTATCCACTCCCCAACATTAACTAACAGCCTACAGAAGAAATTATCATTATATATGATACATTCAACACGGAGTGTCATAGCGTGAGAAAGAAAAGTTCAGTCAACTCTGAGATCTTTATATATTCCCCCCTCCACACCTCTGTTTCTAGAAGAAAAGAAAAAACCTCTCCAACTTCACTAAGGCGTCAGTGAGTAGAGGATTTAATGATATTAGATAGTTGGAGGCAATCGGCGGCAGAGGAAGCCTTGCCTAGACCTAGGTTTCGTGCTGCTAGTTGGCACTAAGCGGTCAGTCAGTCAGCAAGGCGTATCTGCAACCTCATTCAAGGAACAGCTCATGTCCCACCCAATGAGTATTGCAGTCAGAGACGGTAACACTGAGCAGCTATTCGGACTGGCTCGCGATCGACCTTCTGTAGGACTGAAGTGGTTATTTTCATCGGACACTAGTCAGTAACTAGTGTGATGTGTCTGGCTAGTCCTTTCTTTGGTGCAGACTGAATTCTATCAGTCAGTCAGTCAGTTAGGTTTGCAATGTGGCCACCATGCCACCAGGTAGCTCGCCATCACGGAGCACATTGATTTCTCAAACTAAAGCCACCAGACCACTTGGGGTAGTAAATAATGGACGTTAACTGAGATAATATAAAGACTACAGGATAGGAAATTTCAGAAACACTCAATTTATTGGCAAAACTTTTACCATGTAAATGAGATGATCTACTGAAAATGTTTATAAGTAGTAAAAACATTTTAATTGAATAAATAGAATAAAAAGATCTCATGAACCTGTAAAGTACAAAACAGTAGTGGATGGACGGAGAGTGATTTTAGCCAGGCGCTCATAGTCTCTGTCAACAGAGCGTTATTGACCCTCATTTGCAAGGCGTAGTCGTATGCCTTCACAGGAGTGAGGGCGGCAACATCTAACAGTTATTTATAACTAGATCAGTCAAGTAGGTGTTTAACGCTGGGGAGTTTGGGAAACCTTGATATATGCTTGAGGAAGCAAAAGAAACATGTAAACGCATTTAGATCATCAAAAACGCCATCGCTTAGCTGACTTGGAATCAAAGATTGAATAGGTAGGTGGCTCGTAAAGACAACCTTGGTTTTGAGACCGTTATCACATAGCATAGGAGAAAAGACAATGCAGTGGGTTTCCCGAAGACCATCTGTGCAGTAAGCTCGTTTTATACGGGATAGGGTTGCCGCCCACACACATCTAACCTTCTTTCTTTTCTGGGATTAGGATTGGATAGCAAACTAGTCTCACACTGAAGGACAATAATCGCAAAAAAATGATCGGATTAAATTATGTAATTACGATTTGAAAAGCTATAGGATCATGGATGGCAACACCTATCATTCTAATTTCATACGATCATAAGTGTGGACTGAAAACCAAGTTTTTTTCAGGTAAGGATCATCAGCTAGCCAGCCATAAAAAGCACCTTAACGCATGAAAACTGGAAGGAACCAGTTCAACAACCAGTTCGTGAAAACCAGAAAAAGAGCATGTATTTACCTTGATGACGCCACTACTGGAGAAGGTGTGGAAAGAAGGCAAAGTACCCGAGGATTGGAAGAAAGGATACTTATTCAAACTACCAAAGAAAAAAGACTTAAGTCAATGCAAGAACTGGCGCGGAATTATGCTCCTGTCCATCCCAAGCAAAATACTAAGCCGCATCATCCTGGAGAGAATCAAACATGCCAACCTGGATGAAAAACTTCGACCGGAACAGGCTGGATTCAGGAGAAACAAGTCATGCATTGATCAGATCGCCACATTACGGATCATCATTGAACAAAAGCCAGCTTGGAATGGCAGTCACCTCTCTATCTCAACTTCATCGACTTTGAAAAGGCCTTCAACAGCGTCGATCGAGAGGTGATTTGGAAACTACTTCGCTACTACGGTGTGCCACCGACAATTATACATCTCATCCAACAGTTAGTTGTACGACAACGCTGCATGCCAAGTAATCCACAACGGGAAACTTACGGAACCCTTCGAAGTGAGGACAGGAGTAAGACAAGCTGGCTGCCTACTATCGCCAATGATTTTCCTGATTGCAGTAGACTGGATAATGCGACAAACAGTGAAGGGCAATGAGGAAACAGGCATAAAATGGACTCACACAAAAAGAGACTTGGAGGATCTGGACTTCGCCGAAGATATATGTCTGATTTCCCACAAACTGAAAGATATGCAAGTGAAAAGCAACAAGTTGGCAGAAGAAGCACCCAGAGAAGGTAGGACTTCATGTGAACATAGAGAAAACAGAGGTGATGAAGATTCCTGGACAACACCAACAGCAAGAACAACAACAACAGACAACAATCAGCATAAATGGAAGGAACCTGAAAGAATCAACCTCCTTCACCTGCCTACCTGGGAAGCATCGTTTCAACTACAGGCAGACGGAACTGACGAGGATATCAAAGCAGCGAGGATCGGGAAAGCAAGACAAGCTTTCATTACTCTCAAGTCTGTGTGGAGGTCAACAGCACTGCTCAGCATGAAAATGAAAATAATATCCGGATTTTCAACTCCAATGTGAAGTCAGTCAGTGATACTCACTATACGCATCAGAGACTTGGCCAGCGTGTCATAAAGAGCATCTCAAACAAACTACAGACCTTCATTAACAGTTGTATTCGCTCAATACTCAAGATCAGATGGCCAGAAAAGATCAGCAACAGGGATATTTGGGAGCGAACCAACCAGGAACCGATTGTGAAACAAATATGCAGAAGGAAATGGAGATGGATTGGCCATACTCTGAGGAAACCATCAATAGTGACATCACTAGACAAGCCATTGCTCGAGTGGAACCGGAAAGGGAAGCGGCGAGTTGGTCGTCCAAGGGTGACTTGGAGGAGGTCATGTGAAGAGGAGATGAAAACGTGTGGGCAGACATGGAGCCAGGTGAAGACTCTAGTAGAGAACAGAACGCAATGGAGACGAACGGCTGAAGCCCTATGTTCCTGTAGGAATTAAAGGATACAATAATAATATATAATAATAATTTACCTTATGTTAACCCTTCGAGAGAAATTGTGGAACATAAACATACTTACTAGTATCCAACACTTGCCATATTTACTGAACTGAAGGCATAATTTGAATACATCAACTGAGATGTACTGAGGCAATGTCTGGTTGTGAAGGGAGTGTTGAGAAAGTATATCGTACTGATCAAGACACTCAAACAGTCTTGTAAGAGCTAGTGAATAGTTTTCACCTGAAGTGATGAGAGGCAGTGGTGTCTGTCAGGGATTCTCGCTGTCCCAAATCTCAGTCAATTTCATCATTTGAATGTATGAATGGAATTGACCCTAACTGAACAGGTCACACAGTCCTGTCGATGCAGAGCATGCGAATGATTTTGTGAAGACACTGACAAAAATGCAGAATCTTCTGAAGACCTACCTAGAGTAGAAATTTCTGAATGTTTGGCATCTGACTTGCTCCTGTCAGATGTAAAAATGATACTGCAGTACTGATCTGCACCACTGTCTATTTTAAAAATAGGGATTGAAGTGTGGCTTAGGAGTTGCATCAGACGTAGTGAACTAACTGCAGATATAAAAACCTCAGCATTAATACAAAAGGCTTGTGTCGCGTTTGCCGACTTACACTACACCTCTAGCGTAGATGTGATATCCGGCCGTCTATCATGGGACATGTATACTATGTAGAAGTTCGCTCTGTTCTTCCTTGATGTCTAAACACCAATGCCGAGAAAATACATTGCACTGATCAAGCCACTCACTCTACTCGAACACATGCAGCCAGCCAGGTGAGGGCTTACGGCGAGTTGTCATCTGAAGTGGTGACGACTAGTGGCGTCCGTCAAGGATGCCCATTATCACCAATTCTATTCAATTTCATTATAGATGTACTAATGGACTTAACCTTAACTCACTTCAGAGACTCAGGGATTGACTTGCTACCACCAGGGAATAATAGTCTCGTTAACCTAGAATATGCAGATATGATATAGTCCTTCTAGATGAGGACGCTGACAAAATACAGAGTCTTCTGAACACCTTGAGCTGCAATCTACGAATGTTTGTCAAGCGATTCGCTCACGCCAAATGTAAGATGATGTTACAGGACTGACTGGACTACACTGACTCCTAGTTTAGAAATACGGAGTGAAGTGGTTGGTGGAGCACGTTGACCGCTTCAATTATTTGGAAAGTGCCATCAGCCAGTGCCAACGGGTTGATCTCTGACGAAATCTTAGCTGGGTACGGATACAGAGGGTTAGTTTCGGATATGCCAGTTTACGCCGTCTCTGGCTTAGTAGACGTGATGTCCGGCTGACTGGCTATCGACCAAAGGGCGGGTGTACTGCTCAGCAGTCCGCTCAGTCCTCCTTTATGGCTGGCTGGCTGTGAGACCTAGTCGTTGAGAGTGGAGGACATGGAAAGATTAGCTGTCTTCGATTATTGATTATGCATATAATGATCGATTGATCTATGTTTAAAAATGAACTCTGTGCAAGTATGTTAAAATTGTTTCTGTAGATATACTACTTAATAATGACTGTGGCCTGTAAGCAGCTGATGAGAAGGCAACGATATAAAAGCTGGTACCGCTTTATTCTGCAAAAACTGTAGAGAAGTTACTACCAGTTGGCTGAGTACACTGCAAGGAGAGTTTACAGGTAATGTAGTGACAAGCTTTGGTGACTTGCGTGATGAGACTAAAATGAGATTACCTACAAAGATTTTAAGTTAACGAATAAGCGAGCAGTGTGTAAAACCATATGCAGTACAAACATATCACACACAAAGTAATGGTCGATCAACAATAATACACTATCTCTAAATTGTACAAGGAATATGTTATTTTGATTGGTTCACTCACCTATTGACCGTTTCAGTTGTTGCTCTTTCGCCTCCCATTCCACTGTCTGATTGGTTAAATTCGACTGGAGTATTTCCAATTGTCTCATGATTGGTTGAGCTGCATTCGTGGTGACTTCATTCAACGATTCAATCTTCATTTGAGCATCAGAAAGCAAGTCCTAAATAAAATATGATTAAATAAATAAACCAAGTAGGCATGATATGAACGGGGGGGATTGATGTGAAGAGAAGTAATGTTTCTAAGATTAAAGTGTGATGAGAGCTGTCTGCTAGCCAAAAATTAGTAGACAGTAATTTATGTCAATGTTTATGTCCTAAATATTGGTCATGAGAAAAGAAGAACCAGAACAAAGAATGACTGACTCAACCAACAACCAATCACAGCACACTTTGTTCGCGTAGGCGGATACAATTAGCAGATAGATAGATGATCTGACCTTCAAGAAACAGTCACAAAGAGAAACAACCACCAATCAGAATACTGTGTTTGTTTGCTAACAATAATCTATAAAAATGCACATTAAAATCTATAAATATGTGCTGATTTTCCTTAATGAAGGATCCGTTGCGTGGCTCTTGTTGCCTTCTGTCGTTACAATTGGTATCGCTGCCTACTGACAAATGGAAAGCCTAAGCCCTGCACTTTTTAATGGAGACTTAAGGATTTTCGGAGAGGACGTTGAGGCTTCAGTGCAGTTGAGTGGCGTTCAAGATCTGTCAGCGATGAGGCTGTTACTTGGGACGCTGTTGGGAGGTCGGGAGAGAGCAGTATATGAAAGTGTGAGGCGAAATACCGAAGAATGTGCGACAGGGTCAGTCAAACAGTTTCCGAATTGGGAAGGACTACACATGGTCACTTTGAGATGGGGTTACGCAGACACAATCGCAGGCAAACATCACCGAGCGCCGAGATTCCACACAGTAAGACAAATGAACAAAGCCCCTAGAACCAAGAAGACCGAAACAACTTCATTCGCAAGTCTTGGACAGGGGGACGAGTGTGATGAGAGCAGTCTGCTAGCCGAAATTGGTGGACAGTAATTTACGTCAATGTTTACGTCCCAAATATTGATCACGTGAAAACAAGAACAAGAAAAAAGACTGACTCAACCTACAACCAATCACAGCACACTTACTCCGCGTTGGCGAATACAATTAGCAGATAGATAGATGATCTGATCATGAAGAAACAGTCACAAAGAGATGAAGGATTAACTAACATTCAGTGAGAAACAACCACCAATCAGAAGACTGTGTTTGTCTCCTAACAATAATCGATAATAATGCACATGAAAATCTTCTATAAATCTTCTATAAATCTTCTGTTGTTACAGAAGTACAATGGCCTCCAACAAAATCACAAATTCCACATATTGCTTCAGTAGTTTGCAAACCATAGTTAATAGCCCCCAACCTTTACCTGCCTTCTTATCAGATTCTCCTCAGTGTCGTTGTTATTATTATTATTCTATTCGCATTTCTTCCTATATCACCTAGCCCACTAACATGCAAATTATTATAATTTTTCCAATATATTACTTTTATCAATTTGCAAGTAGTACACACCGCACTTGCCTTCCAAGAACAAAGTTGTTTTTGTATGTGCACCGATGGTTTCACTTTCTTGAACTCCTCTTATTAAGCATGGTATATATCATACTTTGATCGAAAATAGCTATCCCGACAAATTTCTCAAGAAACACATGACAAAGAAAGGGATGGAAAAGGACTACCCACTATCACTGGAATCCAAGGGCGATCGACATACCAAGTGAGATAATTACGAAGAAGTTAAAGCGAATCATTTCAAAGAACTTTGAATGCTGGCAACGAACTACACGTCTTATTCTCTACACGACCGATGGTGCTACCTCGACTGAAAGATAAAGTACCTAAACTAGACTATCTGGCCACTTCAAATTGTATCATCTACCAATTCAAATGCAACTGTTTTGTGGTGGAGCGAGTTATATCGGCCGTTGTTGCTCTAGGAACTTGATTTTTCGTGCTCGCTCGCTCGCTCGAGAGAGAACGTGGCTAAGTGAAGGTGTAGTGAAAACCATCATCAACAAATCGATAGTGGACAATTTGGTGCAAGCGGGCTGGCCGGCCACAAAGCCAACCAGCCAGCTGGCGTGGAAGAATCCTTCTCTATCATCATCTACCGGATGCAACATAAATTGACAAAATCATCATCGAAGCACCGAATGCTCCAAACAGCACAGACTATTGCAATTCGCCTCAAACAAACAGTGTTTTGTGTGGCGAAGAAGCAAGTCCAGCTAACCAGCCTCTACTACTACTACTACTCTGGCTGGCCTTCATTGGAGACTATAAATTCATGAATTTGTAATATTATCTTTCCTAATTCAACTGACATTCAGTGTGTATTGTTATGTTGATGCTATTGAGCTGTAATCCATTGGTATTATTATTATTATTGATTCGATGTTATTTAAACAGCAACATTCATGTTGTTGTTCATAACACTAATTCATTCATTGACTATTATGGATGGATAAATAACTTTAGAGCCTGATGATGATGATGAAGGGGTTATCGAAAAGAGTATTTTTATTCTTTGTTCAGTATCCATCCATTCTTTTGAAAACAATTTTAATGGGCATTTTTAATCAGTTAATCTGCTTGTATCCATCACACTGCAGCAAAACAGGAATTCATCGCATTCTTTTTATCCCCTTTCTTTATACTGCATATTAGAGTGTGTCATGGTGCTACCCCACATATCTTAGCCAACAGAGTTTTCTGCAAGCAGCTTCTGGTAGTGATTCTCCTGGCGACTTCCACAATGCTTACTTTGCTTCTATCTCACTTTCTCAGTGGGCGATCGCCTTTTGTTTCTCTTGTACATTCTGGACAGTATGTTTCCCATCATTTGTCCATGCTTTTTATTATTCAACAACACGATGGAGAAGATTTGTAGCTCGGTGGATGATTTTGATGTGCTTGTAGTTCTCTGAGCTAGCTGGTTGGTTAATTTGAGAAGCTTTCATCGCCCTACTAGGCAACATCTTCCTTCAACGCATACACTTCAATTTCAATTGAAGTGAGCTTTTTGATTTCTCCACGAATGAGTTTATTAATCATCTCTCCTGGTCGGTGACCACCTTGGATGTGACTCTTTGGTCGCTGTTCTGTGTTATCACACCTTCTAGGCTACTAGTATTGGAACTGACTGTTTCTTTGACTTGAACTTTAACCTTTTCATTGTGTGAGGTTTCTTTCTTATCGGTTGATAAATTTTGTCTATCTTGATGTGTGTCTATTGATTGATGATTCACTGGAATAGCACGTAGGCTTCTATAAATTCTCTACCATTCTTGGTGTTGTTTCCTCTGTCTAATATTTGAACGTTGGTTTGGTTGTCCCAGTCGAATTGATGTCCGTGGCCGCACCATATATAAAGGATATCTCAGAAATCACTGCGAGACTCTTTAAACCTTTAGGGTATAAAAAATACCTTGGTATAGTTTTATTCTGTGACCCATCTTGGTCACTCCATATCGTGTCTATTTCTAAGAGAATGCTAAGTCTTACCCTCACTACATTACGAAGTTAAGACAGTCAGGAATCATTTAACCTCTGCTTTTACAATTTGTCAACTCTTGCATGCTACTCATTATTCTTTAATGCTCTCCATCAGTCTTTCCTGGTCCCCTCATAAAGGACTACTTCATACTGCGAAGGGTATTAAAGTTTTTTAGTAGGGTAAGTTTGATATGTAGTCACATGATGTATGCCTTTGTTTTGCTAGTCTGACATATTTTACTACATGTTTATTGATCGCTATTCTATTATAACTCACAATATATCGATCTTGTCTGTCCATCAAGACTAAATAGATAATGTATGACCTTGGTCACGTGACATTACAACCAATCAGAATCCAGTGATGGTGGTAAGGAAAACTACCTATCTATCACCTCATTGGTTCATGTGTGTTAGTTTAGTTTTTTTCTATATACGCTTGTGGTGTACAGTTTGATTCACACACTTTCGTACACTTCCGTACTTTTCCACTCACACTCTTGTGTGACGGTTAATCTTCCCTTGTTGGAAAATACACGTATCCATTCTTGAACGTGGTGGTCGTGGTCTTCTGATTTCCCCCCTTTTGCATCAGGACAAATTAACTACTACTCAGCAACACCAGTCTGTACACGTTATCTTCCATTATATCTGAATTAGCGCATATTTACAGTCGGTTACACCATAACATATTGGCGACGCGGCATAACAAATATAGATAATCTTCCGTAAAAAAAGAGTAAGTTGGTCAGTGTACGAATTACACACACTGCCACCGATTAACCAAATCATTGAAAGAGCAGAAGTCTGCGAAGAGTTCTCTGTTGTCATTCACATTTCACCCAGAGCCTCCCCCGACCCATGCTAAGTTCTCCCCCCACCCAGCGAATTGTCTGCTATCAGTTTGATTTGCATTCAATATCGCCCATAAGAATTTTGTTCATTACTGTTTGCAGTTGTCTATAGAAATTTTCTTTCTTCTCTTGTTCCGCGTTGTTTCCAGGTGCATGGCACATTGGATGATTGTAACCTTACTTCCTTTTTATGATTGAGTCTTGCTAGCATAATGCTGGAGAAGATCGGTTACCACTGTATAAGAGAGATTTGTCTGCTGTTGGTAATATTAAGATGCTCTCCAGCTAACAATCTCGATAGTCAACATTCGTTTATTAACTTGCCCTCAGGGATTGCTGGCACTTTCATGCCGTATCTTCTAATTTTTCTTCGGCAACCTTGACAGTCTTTCCCAGATTTGTACACACTGTAGGAACATTTCACGTCTCATGCCTATCTATTTTCCCTTATACATAGAGAGAGAGAAGGCACACATCGATTAACCGGCTTTCACCACCACCACCCCTGGGAAACATTTCGTTTCTTCAACTCCAACGAAGAAAATCAGTCTCCGATTTTCTATTTTCGTTGTGCTTCGAAAGGTTCTCTGCATCGATTTTCCAAGGTACATTCACTAGAATTACAGCTAACCTCTCTTGTTTTACAGGATTTCATCATGAGCTGATGTTGGTTAGAAAACCACTGGCTGGCTGGCTGGCTGGATTCAACATAGAACTTGCCACTGAAGTGCAGAAGTTCGAGTTGACTCGTTCCA